TCTGTAAAAATACCTAAAAAACAGTTTCGTGAATTCTATAAAGATAGCCCCCACAATTCTCGTAAAGGTTTGAATGGATGGGGTGGAAATTCACAATTTTATAATTTTTAGATTTATATTGATTAGTATTTAGTGACACTTTAACGAACGTTCATACGATCTGTCGACCTACCAGGTGTAGAGGGGATAAATTTATCTATGTCGCATATCGGAAATACTACAACGATTAACGTAGCGTGTTTACTTAGCTAGAACTTATAATTGACTCTAGACCTACTACAACGTGAGTCCACGTCGAGTAGCCCGGTGTACGTCGAAAAGAAAGGCTAACTTGTCTCAGGACTACCACACCGAGCCAAGACGTCCAGGGACTTACTCGATTACTGCAATTCTGTCCAGAGCCGATGGGACACGACACGTCTGTCTATAAGACGACACACGAACCCGTACTGAAATTATACCGATCTGTACCGAGGAGTATAATATATTTCCATATACCTCGAGAGAGATATTTATCTTGGTCCACTAAAACCTTGTCTGTCGGACGTGTCTACGAAGGTGTCCCTAAATAATTTTTGAGGACCTAAACTAAATTTTTCCAACTGAATGGAGCTTTATTTGTTCTTGGACGTTAGAGGACTCATATCTGGTACTCTCGACCAAGACTACAACTGATCAAGGGTCTGTCCTTGATTCGTAATTACGTACAGAGAAAGGATCCTTCACGTACACATCGACCACGTCACATCAACACACTAGGTCGCTGATTGAGTAGGACCCCTCGAGGTAGGTAGTAATACACCTTCTCGGTTAGCAACGGTTATCGGAGGAGGTGAGAAGTCAGGTAAGAAAAGTAGATTATCCAGGTGACATTTCTAACTATATCAGGTGTAGTATATTTGTTGTCGTCTGGAAGTTAAAGTCAGGAACCGAGTCGGACGACATCACACCACTTACGGTAATAAGTAATTTACAGTGTCTACACCAGCGACTATCTTTAGTAAAACCTAAAGTCCTACATTACTTCGTCCACAAACTTCCCTCAAGTGAATGAGTAGTGGGGTCCTAGATTAAAACGTGCAAGTTGTAAGCCTGGTTAGACACCTATAGTCACAGACTATCTCACACTACGTGAATCTCAGTCACTACAAGACGTCGTACGTGACGCATCGCTCCATCCAGCGCCCAAGTAACATAGCCTTATAAACGTAGTACTGTAAAAAGCACGACCAATCATCTGAGCCGGCCCGGCTAAAATAACTGGATGGCCTACCTGCCTGTCAGCCTTCCATCTGTGCACAAATTTATCTCGTGCCCTCATTGGTCATGTGTGCGTTCGTGTGTGTTGGAGGAGGGGCTCTGTAAGGAAGTGGCAGATTTTTTCCGGTTGTGTATTTTCAAATTCTAGCGCACTCGAGCTGGTCTCTCCAAAATTACCTACCCCACTTTAAATGTGGATTTGGCTTAAAATGTGATTTTAGGTAGGTTGGCCCTATGATGAATGGTAGAATACTGTAAATCTCCAGGCATAGACATAAGAAGGAAGGTACATTGAGACCAGACTGTAGCTTGCATTAGAATCACAGGGACCGTTTATGCAGTAGCTAGCTTGGAAAATGTCAGCAGGAGCTTTGCACATGGAACAGCATGTTCTGTTCCTTATCAGGCTGGAGAGGGTTTCCTGATGGCTGGGATGAGAGAGTGTGGCGACCAGACGGCCCCCGCACAGCACTAAAAGCCGACAGGCTTCTCTCTCATCGCCAGGCCAGCGCTCCAACAGCCTAATGTGTTTTAAATGTGCTCGATGAAACCTGCCGGGAGGAGTGAACAATACACTCAGCGTACACACAGTAAGGGATGTCCGTCTTTGTCCGTGTGTTTGTTCACCAGACATGTAGGCCTAATTGTGTTTTAATTGAAATATAAAGAAAAATACGAATGTAGAAAGGATTTATAAAAGAAAGCACACACATACATTAATAACAGTTTTAAATGCATAATAATGCTTTGATGTACAGACTTTAAAGGGAACACGCTTTCTCTGAACCTTTCTCTTTCTTCCTAAGCTACTGTACATGACATAGTGTATGGAAATACTGCAGCCAGAGGATTAACCTGCCTGTGTCTAGAATAATCATTAGGCAGATAACACCAATGCTGACTGCATTAATACAGCCAGTAATAACCTCAGATAACGTACTGACTTTGGTAATCTTCTGACTTTTTATTTAGTACCACGAGGTTGACATACTGAACTTAATGACCAAAAAACAATGAAATTCCCATCAACTGTATCTCTTATTAGATATAGCATCTTAAATGCTGAATTAAGACAGGGCACTTTTAATATACCTGCAAAAACAACTACATGTTGACATTAGCATTTTGGCAATAGTACCGCTCATAGAGCCACAAGCTATAGCTGAAGCTGGGTTAGATTAGAGGGCAGGAAACCTCTTTAAAAAACATTATTCGTCTTCAAAAAGATCAAATCCATCTATTTCTACCACCTTATTTCAGAGGGTATAGTGCACAGAAGATTAGCTGAGCAATAAAAAAACTGATGCTGAAATGATTCATCATTCTTCACAGAGAGGAACCTCATTTTCCAATTTCTTCTCTTAACCAATCTATTTACAGTACATGAATTTAAATAAGCGTCGCTAATCTCCTTTCAACAACAAAGGAGTAAAACGTTCTCGACTACCACGTCCTTTGATGTGAGCTGAGCTGATTAAGAATTAAGGTTAATTAGGTTTTTTAAAGGCAGGATGCGTGTTAACAGAATGACAGAACACTTAGGGGTATGTACAGTGCCTCAATTACAGTACTAATGTCCCTAAGGCTAAAAGTACATGATCACTGTTTCATCGTTCATTAGCAAGCTCTAATTGCCGAGGAGGATGCTTGCATTTTACATGAGTGAAGTGCACACTTTTACTCAGCTAGGGAAGTATAGAAGAGGGATAAACACGCAGAAATGAAAGAGTGAGCCTAAGTGATGAACAAGAGCAGAGCGATTTAGTAGATGAAGGAGTAAGTGCTTTATGGAAGGAGCTAGAGGATAACAAGATGATGGAAAATGTATTTCTCTACATAATTGCAGTCTGTTCGAAGGAGATAAGATAACAGTTGTGGTTTATTGTTTGTCTATCCATTCTTCTAATCCAACATCTCTCTCTGCAAAGTCAAAGTAGCTCACTTGTTTATAACTGAACATCCTGCCCAGCCAATGCTGACCCCACCCAGCATCCAGGGACACAGAGAGAGGGCATTCACGGCTTACTAAGACGGAGCTATGTAGGACGGAAGGGCCAAAGTGCAGACAAATATATATCCTAATTATGTTTCAATTTCTATGCTGACATTGTCTGGCGTGGCATCGCTTGTTTAGATATAAATTCCAGATGTTGTTATTTATGAACAGATATGGCATCAGTATAACTGGAAAAGTCATAAAGTATTATCTCCCATTGTTATGCGTGTGTATCGTGTGTGTAGGTGTTTGTTTGTATGTGTGGTGTTTGGCTTTTCTCATGGATCTCTCTGCTGTTGGCACAAGTCCACACACAAATGTTCCATTAGATTTACCGGTGTTGGCATTAGTCCATAATATCTGTCAATATGTCCAATATATCACAGTAAAATGAACTTGCCGAACCTGTAATGCAGGTGATTCCGCCTGTCAACACTACTTGGTACAATCTGCACGGGTCCAGTGGATGTCTGAAGCCAAAGGGGGCTCATACTTTCATCTACCGTATAATAATCAGCAGGACCCACTTGAGTGAGATTAGGTCTGCTTGGCTTGGCAATCATCCCAAGATTGTAAAAAAGCTTTCAAAAGAAAGAAATATCAAGTAGTGTTTGCCCTGCCCATATAATATTTCATCCAATGTCAAAGAGTGAAGGCAGGTTTACAACTGCATAACCTCTACCATGCTTTATGGTGTCTTTAGACTGACTCTTTCAGTGGGTTATAGACTCTACTGAATGCATGAGTAGTGAATG